CAAAAGGGCCTAATATTGATATTAATACCAACATAAGGCTACTGTATTTCTTACGGTGTGTAGATATATTGATTGATTACTATACATTATTTCATAGAAAGAATCTTGCCATAATTGCCAAGCTAATGTCATTGCAAAGAAACTAGAAACAATAACAAAAAACAATGTGGGATGAAATTACAATGCTACGCCGTACACTATGCCATGACCGGATTCAGATAAAATTAATTTAATTTAACATTGTTGATTGTGTACATAAAGATTTAACTTGTGTATGGTTTTGGAACATTAATGTAAAACATTTTGAAAATGATAAAGAAAACTAGTGCAAAGCAGTAAAGAGTTGTAATGTGTGTGGGTGCAGACAGCTGGTGGAGTGCGGCGGGTGGTACGAGCGCGACAAGCTGCAGTGGCGGCGCGTGCTGGACGTGGTGGCGCTGTGCGCGTGCGCGCCGCCCGGCGGCGGCCGCAGCCCGCTCAGCCCGCGCTTCATGCGCCACTTCGCAATGCTGCACCTCGCACCACCAGACACGCACAACATGAACACCATATTCAAGGTACCCCCTCCCCCCCACTCATTGTACTTAACACATATTACACTGTCATTTATTTGACTAATTTAAACTAAGTGCAGTTGAAGAAGTTAAAAAATTATGAAAACCCACAAAGTTTATAGTAGTACAGTTGTGTACAGCTTTAATAATTAAATATTAAAAATTTTGTACAACTGACTTCAATATAAACTATTAAGAAACATTCAAAAACTATTGGTGAAACCTTGATCAAATTTATATGGGACCACATGAAAAGCACCAGCTTTCAAATGAAAAAAGAATCATCGAAATTGGTTCACCCAGAAAAAAGTTATGAGGTAACACAAATAAAAAAGAACATACAGTTTAATTGAGCACCGTCTCCTTTTCGCAGTCGGTAGAAAATAGTTGAAAATTAGAATTACACAACAGATCCAATATTTGTTGGCTTAACAAAATGCATTAATAGATATTAATAAGTTGGGGAAAAAGTTTCTTCGTATTTTGTTTATATAAAATTCAAGAAAAATCTCTTTGATTGTAATGTTTGTCTGGCTGGTTTGATATATACAGTAGAATCTGTTTATTATGACTCCGCTTATATTGACCAACCGCTTATTATGACGTAATTACACAGCGAAGTTTGGTTTTCATATGAAATTCTTTATAGTAAGTGTAATGTCTGCTATCTTCTCTAACCACTGTAGTGTAACACAGGCTCGGCACGCACTTTAACTAAACAACACGTCTACTCTCGCCCGAGGCTCTCGTGTAACTGACGCGGTGCGCTCGAGACAGTGACTTATATATAAATGTATGTTTGTGTATTTGTGCATGGTAAATTATTAGTAAATAAAACAAATAACAATATTTACTGTATACTACATATAAGCATACAATACATCTCTTTCTTATCAAGATTTTTTTCTTTTTTTCATTATAACTCATAACAATCACAAAGCAGCTTGTATTGTCTGTATTAATTATTTTCCACTGCTTTTACGTAAACCTTATCTCCCTGTATTATATCTGAGCGAGTTGCTCTGCGTTTCCTATATACATACTCTTTTCCTTTATCTTTTTTGTATTTTGTCTCTATCACTGATATCTGAATCTAAATGATTGTCTGTAATTTATTTCACCTATTGATGGAATTTTATCCCTACTTTTTCGGTGAAAAAACAGTTCAGAACTTCCCGGTAACTGTAAGGAGGGGTGCTGTTATACATTAGAAGATACTCCCATAAACATTTCTTATAAATCCTTCCTCTCGATCTGGTTGATACGAAGACGTTTCAAAATATCTCTGTTTTGTCTTTCAACTTCGCCGATCATTTGAGGCCAATATAGTACAGTACTAAATAACTTAATGTTACATTCTTTGCAGAAGGATCGAAACTCTTCACTCACGAACTGCTTGCCATTGTCTGCGGTGATAGAAATAGGATAACCAAGTCCACTGAACATTTTTTTTACCATTTTAATAATCTGTAAGCTTGTGATGTTTTTGTAATTCTTTACTTCTTTGTATCGACTATAGTAGTCGACCACTACTAACAGATACTCGTTACTTGGCAATGGTTCCATTAGATCCATTGTGACATCTATCCATGGAGCTGCAGGCAACTCTCGTCTCTTCATTGGTGCAGTTGGGTTTGGCAAACCCACTAACGTACAACATTTACAAGCCTTTACTAATTGTTCTACGTCTTTATCGATACGGGGCCACCATACCTTTGATCTCCAGCGTCCCTTCATCGCTACGATACCTGGATGACCCTCGTATGCAGCATCTAATACACTCTTGCAGAGTTGCTGTGGTATTACAATTTTATTTCTACGAAGTAGAATGCTATCATGGAAACACAACTCGTTTTCAAAAAATTTGTAACTCTTAATCGAATCGTCCCAGTCGTTCTGATAGACACCTTTTTTCACTTTGTAAATCTCTTGTTCTTTTTCTGAATATGCTACAATGGAACTCATTGGTATAGCAACTGGTCTAGAATTTTCCACTATTTGGTACACATGCTGGTCTTTTCCTTTTGGTGGGTTATCACGATAGTTACATAATCGTGACAAAGGATCAGCTATATTTGTTGTTCCTGGCTTGTATATAACCTTGAATGAATAAGACTGTAGCCTCAGTATCCATCGTTCAATCCTCGCAGATGGTTTTGACTTAGACCCGAACAATATCTCTAGTGGCTTGTAGTCAGTGACTAAATCAAAAGGCTTTCCAAATAAACATATTAAAATGTTCGACCCCGCAAACTAATGCTAGTGCCTTTTTTTCCGTTTGGCTATACCTGCGCTCGCAGTTTGTCAAAGCTCGATTACCATAGGCAATAATTCTAGAGCCATTTGTATCATTTTGTACAAGGACAGCACCAAGTCCGACAGGGCTAGCATCTGCTATCACCTGTCTTGCATCTCTGACGTCATAATACCCTAAAATCTGTATTTCCGTGAGCATCCGTTTGAGTTTTTGGAATGCTTTATCTTGTTCTCCAGACCATTGTTTTTCCAAGCTCTCCCTTTTGCTCATCTTCTGTCTTAACAGGTGCTTCAGAAGTTCTGTCATGGCGGCCAAGTTAGGTATCCATTTGTTTATGTAGTTTAAGAGTCCTAAAAAACTTTGGAGTTCTTCTATGGTCTTTGGGACCTTAAATTACATAATGCTCTCAACGTACTTGTTGAAGGGTTTACTCCTTCATGTGTAAGCCTGTGTCCCAGAAAATTTACATCCTGCGTTTTATATATGCATTTATTGCTATTCAGCACGGCGTTGTTTTTACTAAGTACCTGTAGAACTTTCTTTAGTCATGCGTCATGTTCTTCTTCACTGTTCCCGAATACCAGGATATCATCAATAAAATTGACGACCCCTTCACAGTTTATCAGCATCCTTTCAATGATCTTCTCAAAAATCTCGGAAGCGCAGGTAATTCCAAGCATTATTCTTTTATATCTTTATACTCTTTTGGGGGTTATAAAAGTCGTTATGTGTCTGGATTCAGAGTGAATTTCCACTTGATAGAAGGCATTTTTTTATGTCTTAATTTGTTAAAATATTTAGCTTTCTTCATTTTAGGCAAAAATGGTCCATAGTAGGCAGGGGGTGGTTTTCTTGCAATATAACGGCGTTCGTATATCTCATATCTACGCACAAACGTAATTCACCATTTTCTTTCATGATTGGAACATTGGTGAAACCCATTTAGACGGGTCTTGCACTTCTTCAATTATATCACTGTTTAGTGATTTCTTAATTTTGATTGCAACCTTCTCTTTAAAGGGGATCGGCTTGCTTTTACTCTCCACTTGATTTATCCCCCGATACCAAGTTTTAAGACACCCAGTCGGACTGCTGTTTTCTTACCAAACAGGTTTCTAGTACCCCCCGAAATCACGTAAATGGTTGTATGTTCCTTTCGTCCATCGACTTGGAGTATAGTTTCAAATGAACCCTCTATTGCCAAAGGAGAGTTACTACCATATGCTAATTGTCTGGTCTTTACATTTGATTAAAAGCATATACCTTTTTGCTTTTTAACTCTTCCCACGTTTTGTAAGATATAAGGTTCTTGCGCAATTTCAAATTACACTTTACCACAATTTGATCTATGAAATGATCATCTTGCCTTTCGATACACTTTTCGGCTTGTTGACGCAATCTTATCAAAAACTTCTCAAATGTCTCTCCTTTTTTCTGTTTTAGCAATCGAAAAACATGCCGCTCATAAACTTTGCTCCGTTTAGGTTGAAAATACTCGTAGAGTTTTTTTTTTATGGCTACTTAAAATACATCAACGGTTTCTTTTATCCCAGAGCCACCAAAATGCAATAGCGTAGCTCGTTTCTCGAGTGCTGATATAACTTCAGCTACGTCCAGATAGATTAGTAGAGACCTTTTCCATTTTCCACACCTTATAGCCATAGATGTGCTATCACATTAAAGCTGATAACGGTATCATTATTATTATTATTTTAGGGGTAACTGAAACAGTTTCTTATATTTTTTTTCCAATTTAATGCTGGTATTTTAATACCCAAAGTCCAATTTAATGGTAGTAACTTAGTACCCAAAGTCCAATTTAATAGTAGTAACTTAGTACACAAAGTCCAATTTAATGGTAGTAACTTAGAACCCAAAGTCCAATTAAATGGTTGTACCTACCTTAGTACCCAAGCTCCAATTTAATGGTGGTACCTACCTTAGTACCCAAGTTCCAATTTAATGGTGGTATCTTAGTACCCAACTCAATTTAATGATGGTATCTTAGTACCCAACTCAATTTAATGATGGTATCTTAGTACCCAACTCAATTTAATGATGGTATCTTAGTACCCAACTCAATTTAATGATGGTATCTTAGTACCCAACTCAATTTAATGATGGTATCTTAGTACCCAACTCAATTTAATGATGGTATCTTAGTACCCAACTCAATTTAATGATGGTATCTTAGTACTCAACTCAATTTAATGATGGTATCTTAGTACCCAACTCAATTTAATGATGGTATCTTAGTACCCAACTCAATTTAATGATAATAATATGTTCCATAACACTCGCCCTTCTCTTTCGGTTTATTTGTTATACCGACTACTTCCATCGCTGTGCCATTTAGGCTTTGGGTAAATTCAATACCTATATTGCGCATTTACCATTATTGATAACTTAGACAGCAATACCCTGAGAAACGCCGTAATATAAGAGATCAAATATTGTTGTACAAATTGCTTCATAATATCATCGGCTCTCCCCTACTTTTAGGCAAGGTGAATCTTGCGTGTCACAGGTTAGGTGCACGAAATAAACCACTTTTTGCATTACCTAAAGTTAAAACAAAAAAAAAGCTTCAAATAATTTTGTATCTCGTACATGCAAAAAGTTTAACTTAAAATATTGTAAATATTAGATATTTTTCACCTTGAATATGATAGTTACAAAGAAAATATTGTAAAACTTAATATATAATTGGTAGTATCACTTTGAGTAGTATATATAATGTTACTTT